AGGAGATTTTTTAAGACATTGGTATCGGGTACGTGTCGGGTATGGGTATGGCTTCATGATAGAAATAATCGGGTGACATAGAAGAACATAAATCAAGTCGGGTATGGGTATGGCTTCATGATAGAAATAATCGGGTGACATAGAAGAACATAAATCAATTGAGTCAGTTCTGCTCCACCATATAAGAACTTCCATGCTAACATGAATATCCAATTATCGCCCAAAAAACATGATGCATGAATAATTGATACAAGAATCATAAAGAGTTGAAGGGCATTCTATCCACTTTGAAACTTAAAAAGTTTTCAATATAAACAAACTAATGAATCTAGTCATGTTGCAGAGTCTGATAGCATACATGGTACGCCACACACAAACTTTTTCAGTTAAAGGAGAAAAGTGGATACCAATGCTAGTGGATGTTTCGATCCTTTTTAAGTTTCATTTTCTTCAACACCAATGTTGGGCTAATAACAAATGAAAAGTGAAAATAAAAAACATACTCAAATTATAATAATAAAAAAGTTTGACGTTTTCAATAGAAGTCTTGACTGCTGAAACTTTTGTCTCATTGCATATCCTAAATCTTATAAGTTACATTTATTTATCATAGATATGCTTTAACCTTATGGTACCAAACTATATTACCTGGGCACTTCTATAGTGGAGCCGTACCCATCCCAGGCACGTGTTGTACCCACACACGTACCCGACACTTAGACACTCCTTAAATACATGCATATATTTATTTAGGCATGTACTCAATTATACAATGCATGTTGTAATAATCAATATTTTTTTATGCAAGGTCTTATATAGGAGGCCCACATGAATTGGATTTGAAAAAAAAATTAAGTGTCATAAAGGCTATTAGTGTTAGCGCAACCTAGAAAGCCCATCTCCACTCTTCCCCTTTGATTTCTTTCTTCTTTCTTTCACGTGTGAGATGAGATAGTTAGTTATGGAAACTAACTCCACATTTTAGCAAAAATTGGTTCTTTTTAGGATTTGATTTAACCAATTTGTTTCTCTAAAAAATATATATAAAATCCTAGAAAATCTCTAACCACCTAACCACTTGATCCCTTTAAAAATCCATATATATCTCTTTCACCTCTTTTCTTCACGGGAGAGCTTTCAAAAAAAAAGAAACCGAAAAAAAGAAGAAAAAAAGAAAGCAAGCAGAGAGGCAACAATGAGAATTGAGAGAAAAAAAGGGATTTTCTTGCTTCGGTGTAGCTTTCAGAGTTTCTCTCGAATGATTGGCAAACATTTCTTATCCTTCAACTATTTTATTTTTCATGGTCGTCTTTTTTTTTCAAAATCGGCAAGCATTCATTTCCTACTTGATTTTGAAATTCCTTGAAATCTTCTTGAATATCCTCATTTATGTTCTCATTTCGTAGTACTCTATCATTCTCTAGTTCTCTAAGAAATTTATTCTCATTATTATTATGTTGTCTTGCTTTTTGTTGAATTCTTTCTTTAATTTTTAGGAATGTTTCATATGAATTCTTTGTAGCTACGAGAGGTTATCCTTTCCATGTTTCTGCAATGCATCCAAGGAAAATGATGATCATGCTCTTCAGCTCCCTTTAATGCACTAGAACATAGACTTCCTGCTATATGGGATTATATTTAAGCATTGCACCTTTTTGGCCTTCTTCTATTTAATCGTAGGGAAATCCTTGATTTTGAAATTCCTTGAAATCTTCTTGAATATCCTCATTTATGTTCTCATTTCGTAGTACTCTATCATTCAGAGCCTCAAAGCAAGATCTAATTCTGTGACTGAATGACGTTACCAAAGTACCAAGCCTTCACTTCTTGTATTAGCATGTTTACGAGAGTCCACCATTCGTTCACAATATTTACCTTTTATATTATTTAACATGATACATATTATAAATATTTATTATACTGGAAACAAACAATATAAGAAAAATGTAGAAATTTGTGGAAAAAATATATGTTAATTTTCTTATTGGTCAATATTCTCACTACTCACTTTTAACGTGCATGTTCTCAAAAGCAAAGTTACAACATGCAATTTTAACTCCAAAACCTGATTCTTGGATTTTTCTAAATACTAATATCATTATGGTAGTTTAACCAAGCTAATTGTTTTATGTCAATCTTCTTATGTGTCGATGCTTCTAGATATGTAATTTATGAAAGGATAACTTCAAATATCTCATGCTTACAGGTTTCACTTCAAAATTGAGTTATTATTTCTTCAAAACTTTACCAAAAACAAATAAGCTTACAATAGTATCAAAACTACATCCTGATTCGAATTTATTCTGACACAGTTTAAGTTATTATGTTTAGTCTAAACCTTCTTGTATGTATTATGGAAAGAAAATTTAAATATGTAACCTGCACATATTGTTTCCACTTTAAACGAACTATTAATGGTTGCGAACTTTGTCCAAGGGTCCTCAAAGTTACTTGAGTTTTAATTATTATTTAACCATTTAAATTATATGTTTCGACCACTTAGGGCATTACCAACTAACCACTAAAAATTTCATTGTGGGTTAATACTAATCACCCCAATTTAATTCAATCTCTTCCTTTCACTGAATATGATTAATCGTTCACGTAATCCACACTTCATGTGCACGCTTTGGAGAGCAAATTCAAATACCGTTATTACTTTTGGATGTAGTATCTACTTTGAACAATATTTTCAGCAAACTTTATCAAAAGGAAATATGCTTAAATTAGCTTTCAAACTCAAATAGAATTGGAACTGTTCTCTGATCAATTAAGCTACCCTATGTGGATTACACCAAACTTATTTAAGTTTTTCTAACCACTTAATAGATGTGAATTCTGGATTATTCCTCACTTAATTTAAAGTCATGACTACACATGACAAAACATATCAACACCTACTTAAAGCCTTGGCAACAAAAATCTTGAGCCGTCTTTTCCAGCAACACTCTCCCAATGCTCACTACTACTAGTTTTTATAACATTGTCAGAATTTAACACATCAACAAGACTTATGTTTATATGCATGCTATGTGTAGTATTTTTTTTATTACTTGTTCGTAGGCTAAATGAATTCTATCTGACTCCGTTAGTTTTCCAGTAAGTGAAGGGTTCACGGTTTATAGGATATTGTGCCATAGGAACTCAAGTGCCTAAATAGGCAAGACTTGATAATGGAAATCACCTGAAATGTCATGATTAGATTAAAACCCGGTTTATACCTATAGTACTTATCTTGTTTGATATTGTGTATGACATGCTTGACTTTATGAAAAATTGTTGCTTGATCACCTAGTTGTCATCCAATAGGAGAGACTGTGCATGAAGACGACCCATGTTAAAAATATGATTTATAAGCGTGTTTTCATAGTATGACTATGCCCTCGATATCGATATCCCGATATGAGGGTTTTTTTCTTAACTATTATTATTGTAGCATCGGCTAGATGATGCACCCATCTTGTTAAGATATGTTCTGGGTCACAGTTATTTTCATAGTTTTACAGAAGTCGTTCCATGGTAACTCTGTGATTAGTGCACAATATTTCATGCACAGTCACTTAAATTAAACTGATAAACATAGGGTTTATAAATGGGAATTAGACGGAGCATATAACATGTATATAAACGGGCACATGTGCATTCCTGATATCCTGAGTTATATATATAAGAGCTAAAGGGCTAATACTTGACTTGAAGTCGTGTTCCCGAGACGGTTTACGGGGAACCGATTTATATATATGAAAATATTCTTCTCTAATTCAAATAACATGTAAAATAAGAATAATGTGCTTCGTGATAGATTTGGCGTGCACGACCTATTCTGGATGAGGTGTTGATGATGTATTTTTTTTTCTTGTTTATAGGATTTTGGGAGTTGATATTTAGCGATTTACAATTTGTGATACATGGTATATACGAGGGTTTTCTTGTTTGGATTATTCCCTCGACGTACTCATCTCGTATTGTGGGTTTCTAAATCTTAACTCCTTTTAGTACATGGTATAAGATGTATGCTTTGCGGTAGATCTTATTTGACATCGACAATTATCAATTTCTTTTATCATCTTTAATTGAGTTTCATCTTTTCTTTATACCTGTCACATACACTAACACACGCACAATTCCCTTATTTTACATGCTTGTTGGGAGTTTTCTGACTCTCCTGGGATTTGCGTGCCCCAGATTCGGGGACTATTCTTCCTTCGCAGGACCAAGAGTACTTTAAGGATCAAGCCAGCGGCAGTGATCACCTTCTGTCCTATCACTCTTTCAACTTCAGTTTAGTTAGGTAGTTATTTATTTTAGATTTTTCCTTAGCCACGTGTGGTTCTCCAGACTATGATATATTTTCCTTTTTCCCATTTTGGAGAGTTGTGGACTTGCCATAGAACTCTGTAATTCCATTTTTTTTATCTATCTATTTTCTTTGTTATCTTAGTTACATGCTCTATGTAGTAGTTCTTTTGGTAATATATATGTATACAAGATGATCTAGAGGCGTGAATGTGACTGTATGGTTGCATTGTCGGCCGAGTCACGTTCCAAACTATCATGTTTTGGAACCGGGGTGTGACACATGTTTACTTTAAAACACGTATTTATGTGTTTGTGTACATATATGTATGTATGTATATGTGTGTAAATTCTGCATTTCACATTCATTTTGGTAACTTATTGGATAAGGTCAAGTTCATTTCAGCCTTAAGAATTATGATTTAAAAGGATCAGTTACATATATAGCACAGAACTATGAGTATATCCCCATGAGTTTCACATGTGTCCTCATACCCTACCTTCTACAAATTTGTCATGTCACATACCCCCACCTGCACCTTCACTCGTGTAACTTAGGTACCCAACAACAAAAAAAAATTGAAACAAGATAAAATTTTCAGTTTTTTATCACCACCCACAATGCAAAATAGAAAAATGTATCATCTAATATGTCATCTACCGCAGTTACAAAAAACAAGTAATAAGTTCACCATGCTTCTTACCAGAGGATCAGGAATCTGTGCACAGTAGTCCAGAACAAAAGAAAAGTCATCAGGACCTAAAGAGACGTTTCCATCACCAAGATTTTGTAGCATCCCAAAGGCTTTCTCCCTCTCCCCCAAGCGAAGAGCATTAACAATTTGACGTTGTGCATGTCCGGTTCCATGTTGAGGTCTACATTGGAAACAATAATAATCTGCAACCAAGTATAAACATGTCAATTATAATTATCATTAAGAATGGAAATTGAAATATCGAACAAGCCCATGTTAGCATACATCAAAATGAGTCACTTGTGACAGGATCCTTAAAGTAAGGTGCACACATCAGGTTTAGTTTGCTCATGAATTGCTATGTACAAAGAAAATGGCCCAGGGTGGAAAGATAATGTCGTCCTCATGTCAGGGTTTCAATGTAGAAATGCGTAGAGATCCGAGAAGTGAAAAAAATTAAAGAATAGAATAGTGTATGATCAACACATACTGCATTTGACCTTGGCACAAGCATCCAAACAAAGAGAAAACAATGCTGGCAAATAATTAAGAGCAAAAGAGAAAATCACCATTTATCTGGAGGTTAGATCAATGTGGCACAAGACGATAAGAAATCTCATATAATCCTATCGAACAAAAATATTTAAAGGAATGTTAACAAATATAGGTCAAAGTAAGAACAAAGAGATAGAAGGATGGCTAAGATGACAAGCAGATTAAGAGAGATGCATAACATGTGGAGCAACCTTCAAGTAGTCAAGTGGAATTAGCAGCATTGTCAAGACTTGATTTCTCGAAGTACAAGAATATATGTAGACAAATAAGGTATAAAAAAGGAGTTATTAGTGCCAAGTTGCTCCATTAGTAGCTAACCGTCTTCCCAACCATAAGAGGCTGGCCACGTCAAGAAAGAAAAAGGTAAGAACCATTAACTCCTTGGAAAGAACAAGAGCATAGCCTCGCAGAATTTTATGAACATTACAGAGCAGTAAGATAGATAAAATACAGACTAAAGATCATTCCCCCGATATCTTAGACACTGATAATCCTTAACTCTTAAACCAATTAGGCACTAGTTCTTAACTTTGGTAAGTTGAACCAGAATCTGATTTCAATTCATCTTACAAGTACTGCTTATAAGTTATAACAACGTAAATAAGCTCTGCTCATTGAAAAACAGCTTAAAAGCCGAAGAAACAAAGTACAAAAGAAGAAAAAAGAAGAGTCCAGACAATTAAAATGAGATTTGACCATTATATGCATGCAGTAGGAAGTTTAGGCAAATAGAATGAAAAAAAAGAACCTAAAACACTTCCACCTAGGCCTGAGATACATGGTGATAATCCTTCTTTCTGTAATTTTGCATCAGATCAAAGTGCAACTTGAACAGTACACATCCTTCCTGATAGAGATAAGTATCATGTATTCTTAGTTTCTTATGCATCTATTTAAAATGAAATCCTAATTAAGATACATCTAATAGCATTCAGCGGGTATCCATAAGTAGCACACTAATTATGAGATAAGTACCATAAACTATGTTGCACGAATACGAGCATGGGTACGGGACACGGCAAACTTGTAAAAGGTGGGGGTACAAGGACATGGCTATATAAATATTTATATACACATTACACATATATTATATCTTGGAATTAATAATTTATATGAGAACAAGGATGAGAATTAAAGTCCATATTAACATTTTTATGTTTCTTTTATTATGTGGATTATAAATTAGAAAATCACTAGTTTTTGAACTAGACATCCAAACAACCCTTCAAAATCATAATTCAATACCACTGTGCTACGAGTTTTAAATGTAGGATATATGTCCAAAAAATGTATAACAAGTATTTTAAATTAAAACATGTATTGTATAATCAAGTACATGCCCGAATAAATGTATAAATATATGCAAGGATTGTCCAAGGAGTTTGGATAAGACCATACGGGTATGGGCGCGACTTCAAATTAGAAGTGTCCTGGTAACATAGACCATAAACAAAGATGTTTACCTATGTCGAATTAGTGGTGCAGCATAGTTTAGAAATTTTAGTATAATCATAACATGAGAATCCAATGTATCTGTTACACTTAACCTACATAATTAAAATTTGGCAAAAGTCTAGTGGAGTCCTTGATATATCGGCCAAATAACATTTGGGTCCTTGATATTTGGAAGTCATCACTGGGTTCTTTAAAATAACCTTTGTCATCAGCCTAGGTCCTTTTTACAAACTAATGTTAACCTTGTAGACATGGCGATGACGTGATACTACCATTTCAGCAAAAAAAAGTTAAAAGTCCAAGTTCGTACTGCCACATCATTGTCACGTTAATAAAAAATAGTGAAATTACTAGTTTGTATTGAACTTGGAACTTTCACTAATTTTATTCTGACGTGACAGTGACATGATAGCGCCACGTTAAAGCCACGTCAGCAAGACTTAATGGAAGTTTGTAAAGAGCACCTACGCTGATGACAGAGGTAACGATAGGGACCCCTTGATGACTTCAAACACTAAGGTCCTAACTGATAGTTAGTCAACACATCAAGGACCTCCACTGAAGTTGTGTGACCAACATTAAGGACCTCCACTGAAGTTGTCTTTAAAATTTCTAGTCATAATTTGTCATTATAAGTTCTTGCTCATAATTTCATTGTTAACTAACCTGTCACTGTCCAAGCAATATCAAATAGTTCTTGTAGGACATGAGATAAAAGGGAATTCTTGTGCATAATAGTTACTATGAGCTCAAAACAGTTCATAATTAGCATTTTTGAGGAAGGCATTACATAAAATATAGATATGTTAAGCATGATCGAGTGGGAGAGACTCCTAATGGATAACCTCAAGGAAAGTTATCATTCGGGGTGTTACAAATAGATAGCAAAAGAAAGGTCTCCAAAAAGAAATTTCAAAATGCATGTATGCTAGGTGCCATAACATTTTATAACTAAACTTTACATTATAAGTTACATAAAAATTTTGCATGAAATCTCTACATCTGTAATATCATACTCTTAACTCCTTACTAACTTAGAGATCATATTTTTCAGTGAACACAGTGAATATACCAAAAATCAATTTTCAGCTCTTCTAACCACAAACATTTTGTAGATTTACTGTAACTTTTCGACCTAAATTACCATGCATGAGATGACTTTGTTTTTTAGTGCATAGTATTGCTTCTCAATGAAGTGATATTATACAATTGCTCTACCAATGATTCAATATAAAGATAAAGCTACTTTCAAGATGGATTCCAGGAGATAAGGAAAATAAATTCATAATTGTAATTATGATTGTACAGCTCTATGTGGTAAGCCTTCATTATTAACTCAAACCAAATTTAAAGTTATAAGAAAAATCATAAGGAATATTAATGCTTCAGAACAACGCTATTAGAGTACACCTTACTACCTTGAGAAAGCTTGAAAAGATTGCATGTGTTCTATGAAATTCCTTCGAACCTAAAAGCAACCAGTGGCGGCGAGAGAAATCAGATTTGTTTCGCAAGTTATTTGAAAAAAATTCATATTTGTTTTTGGTAGTTATAAATGTTGATACTAAGTTTTCCAATTTATTAATTTGTTGTGGGCAGAACTATATCTACATGAAGCACTAAGAAATTTTAGAAATCAAATTTTACCATGGTGTCTTGATGAAAGCTTTTTTAAAAAGTTAGATAATCACCAAAATTTTCGTCAAACTCTGACCAAGTGTTATTTAAAACATTTTTCTTTAAATTAATGTTTATAACCAACTCTTGATCAAACTTGATAAGAATTATACCATAAATCAAGGCAAAACATGAACACTATCAAATAATCCCCAAAATTAAAAAGCAAAATTGGATGTCTGGTGAAGGATAAATGCCTATGCCGATTTTGAAAATCTTTCAGATCATTACATAGAAAATAGAAGGACAAAAATCCTCTGTGGTTCGTTCTTTGGGTACATTCCTGGTGTCCGAAATCAATTGAAGAGCAGCTCTCGATCTGAAACTAGAGAACGAGAGAGAACAAAAGAAATACTTATGGGCAATGAAATGGAATTGAGGCGGGTCGATTGATTGACTTCACTTCATTTACATATGCCTATGCATTATTCTCCGCATGAGAAAATGAAACACCTAAGGTTAGGGTTTTGAGAAATGGAGTGAGAGTTAGGGTTTTGGAGATAAATTAGCGTTTAGAAAATAGTGAGGATCTAATGCAGATGAGGCGAGAATAAAGACGGGATTATGGAATGATGATAGAGATTAGGGTAACTATGTAAGGTTGTGCTTGGTTCGAAACTTCGAACGAAAACTAAAAGAAAAGAAAAAAGGTGAGGAGAAAACAATTTTCTGTTGTTTAATTAGCATGAAAAGCAAAAAGAAAATGAAAATGGGGAAAAAGACTACTGAAAACTTCCCGAACCTTTAGTTTGGAAGGATTATTTTTCTTTTTGGGATAAGGGTTATTCAGTATAAAAACAGGATTGAAATGTTAAATAAAAAAATGTGTGAGGGTATGTCTTGCATACGTCCTGTGATGCGTCATCGCTCAAGGCACTTGCGAGGTGCAAAATGGCGCTACCACCTCAAATGTAGGGCGCTTCGCCACCGCCCAGCATCGCAGGGTGCAAGAGGCGCACGCCTTTGATAACATAGGTACATCCCCTATTTATATCTACTTTTGTTCTCTTTTGCATAGTCAGATATTCATCTTGCTCCTATTATTTAGAAAATGGACCATAAAGCATGAGCACACCAGCTTAAGTTGTAGCTTAGAGTTCAAATTCATTTGATATGTCAGACTTCTATAGGAGTGCTTTGTTTTCTCTTTTCTTTTAACTATATTCAAACCTTTAGTGTACCGTTCCTTATTAGTTTAAACGGAATATTTTACTCAGTTTCACGTGGGCAATAAGCAGATTTAGTCTTTATAGTTAAATACTGCATTTTATGTCTTTCACGAGCATAGCAAATTAGGCTAAGCCTCACAATTCAGATGATGGATGTTCAAGGTACTTAATTGAGGCAACAATTTTTCAAATTACTTTTGTGAAACAAACCTGATTTCTCTAGCTATCACTGGGTTCTTTTAGGTGCGAAGGAATTCCATAGAACACATGCAATCTTTTCAAGCTTTGTCAAATTCTCAAGGCAATAAGATACTCTAATAGCATTGTTCTGAAGCATTAATGTTCCTTCTAATTTTTCTTATAACTTCAAATTCGGTTGAGTTAATAATGAAGGCTCACAACATAGACCCTTACAATTATAATTACAATTATGATGTCTATTTTCCTTATTTCCTTGAATCCCTCTTGAAGGTAGTTTTATCTTAATATTGAATCATTGATAGAGCAATCGTATAATGTCACTTCATCTAGAAGCAATATAATGATCGAAAAAACAAAGAGCCATCTCATGCATGGTAATTTAGGTTGAAAAGTTATAGGAAATCTACAAATGTCGATGGTTAGAAGAGCTGAAAATTGATTTCTTCACTGAAAAATATGATCTCTAAGTTAGTAAGGAGTTAAAAGTCAGATATTACAGATGTAGAGATTTCATGCAAAAAAAATTATCTAGGACGGATTTTGTCTATTCTTATTCATTGAGTCTATTGGGAAAGGCTAAATGCAGAGCTGAAATTAGGTTTTTATGTAACCTACAATGTAAAGTTTAGTTATAAAAGATCATGGCGCTTAGCATGCGTGCATTTTGAATTTTTTGAATACCTTTCTTCTGCTATCTATTTATAACATCCCGAATGATAACTTTCCTTGACGTTATTCATTAGGAGTTTCTCCCACTCGACCGTGCTTAATGTATCTATGTTTCATGTAATTCATTCCTCAAAAATACTAATTACGAGTTTTTGAGCTTATAGGAATTATTATGCACAAGAGTTCCCTTTATCTCATGTCCTACGGGAATTATTTCATATAGCTTGGAGAGTGACAGGTTAGTTAACACTGAAATTATGAGAAATAACTTATTATGACTGAAAATTTTAAAGGCAAAACTTTAGTGTAGGTCCTTGATGTGTTGACCAACTATCATTAAGGACCTTAGTGTTTGAAGTCATCAAGGGTCCCTAACGTTACCTACGTCATCAGCGTAGGTCCTCTTTATAAACTTCCATTAAATCGTGTCATTGCCACATCAAAAAAAATCAGTGTAAGTTTCTAAATTCAATACAAACTTGTAATTTCACTATTTTTGTTGAAGTGATGATGACGTGGCAGTACGAACTTGGACTTTAACTAATTTTTGGCTGAAATGACAGTGTCACGTCATCGCCATGTATGCAAGGTTTAATAAAAGTTTGTAAAAAGGCCATAGGCTAATTGCAAAGGTTACTTTAAAGAATCCACTGATGATTTCCAAACATTTAGGATCCAAATGATATTTGGATGATACATCAAGGACTCCACTAGACTTTAGCCAAATTTTAATTATGTAGGTTATGTGTAACGGATACATAAGATTCTCATAGGATTCTCATGATCAAACTGAAATTTCTAAACTATCGTGCCACTAATTCAACATAGGTGATATCTTTGTTTATGATCTATGTTACCTGAGTACTTCTAATTTGAAGCCACATCCATACATGAACAGTCATATCCAAACTCCTTGGACACTCCTTGTGTATATTCATACATTTATTCAGTCATGTACTCGATTATACAATACATGTTTTAAGTTAAAACACTTAAAAGAAAAACGCATATTGGGAAATGAGAAACAAAAATAAATTACTATCACTATGACAGTGGTCCTACTGGCAATTAATCATGGCAAGGAAATCCAAAAGAAAAGGCTTGGCCTTCCTTCTCTCTCTCTTTTCTCCCCTCTTTTTGTTAACATATCACTTACGATATTCAAAAACGATGTCAGAGTAGGACTCAGAGTATGTAATACACCAGCTATTGTAATTTTGTAGATATTCCATAAAATAAAATAAAAACTACACAACTCGCTTATACTATCTTAGTACGATTAAAAGAAGAGGATGTATATATTTAATAGGATGCTCAAGTGATCTGGAATAGGTGACAATCATGAGAAGAGCCATAAAATGTCTAAGCTCAATCCAAGTGCCACTAGGCACTGCCCACACAAAAACTATACATGATTCATTCTAATATTAACTAGTTATTATAAAATATTCAGAAGAAAACTGAGTGACTACGTAAATGCATAGGGAGCTAGCATTGTTGTCTAATAGGCATTCGGGTGACAGAATGCTTGAGACCATTTAATTGCCATGAGAACTACAGTCCTAAGATTCTTCTTGGATTAACTATTACGCCTCCACTATAGGTACTTCTTTTTCTGCACAATGATCTCTTTGCTCAAATCCCCATTTATTGAAGAAACAAATGGGATTTTATGTTCCTCGCAACTTGTTGGCTTGTTTGAAAAAATAGCAATCAACATGCTACCAACTCAAAGAGGCATACTATATAAGATATTAGAAGGACCACTTCAAATTTAGAGGAGATGTAGCTTGGCCATTTGCTATTGAATAGAAGCAGACGGCTCCATGCAAATTTCTAGTTTATTTCTCACCTTTTCATCCCTTGTATTCTCATTGTTCTAAGAAAACTCCATGCAAATTTCTAGTTTATTTCTCACCTCTTCATCCCTTGTATTCTCATTGTTCTAAGTAAACCAGCTCGAGGATTCTCTAAAAAAAAGGATAATTCTTTCTTCAATTTTCTTATGAACCTCAATCAAGCTATTGCATGTTACATATGCAAATACTCAATAAAAATTTTGCCTTTTCTCCTTCAAATTACATCTTTTCAAACTCAATAATGTTTTATAAATCAAACAAACTAGATGATTTATAAATTAAGATAAACCCAAAATTAAAGATATATATATATATATATATATATATATAATATATATATATATATATATATATATATATATATATATATATATATATATATATATATATATATTATATAGTATATATATATATATACACACACACACACACACGCACATGCATATACACATACTTATAACATATATACATGTATGTATATGTATAAGTATGTGTGTGTGTGTGTATATATATATATATAATATTATAATAATATATGTGTGTGTGTGTGTGTGTGTGGCTGTGTGTGTGTGTAGAGTAAAGCTCCTATAAACTTAGCGGATAGGAGCCATTTGTCCACCAACTTTTTTATCGCATTGATTTTGCATTGAGATTTGTGCTAGCATGTGATACAAATGAAGGCACAGATCTCAAAGAAAAGCATTGATGTGTAGCCACAAATCTCAAGTATAATAAAGAGATAAAAAGTTGATGGATAAGTGCTCTATTCACTTAAGTTATAATAGTTTTAATATATATATATATATATATATAATATATATATATATATATATATATATATATATAAGAGAGAGAGAGAGGAGAGATAGGGAGAAAGAAGAAATGTAGGAACTTGGTACCAACAAAATTTTGTGATGGGTAGTGATATGTCTCATTCCCATCCACTCTCCAATCCATATGAATATGGTCCCTCATTTGAATGAGTGGATGTAGATGATCACCTCACTACCAGCACAAAAACTTTCGCTTTGGTACTTAGTTCCTCCATATTGCTTTTATATATATATATATATATATAATATATATATATATATATTATATATAATATATATATATATATATAAATATATACTAATTAACTGAAAAGACAGATTAATGTGAAGTTCGTAATCAATTGACAAAAGCTCCCACCTTGATCAGTGACGTCTCGATCATATTGAGCAGTAATATCCCCAGTGAGACTCCATCCGCTTGGTTCTTTGATTTGCTTCTCCTTCACCTGAATTTTCAAGCAAATTCAAATGCATAGGAAAACAAAACGATGTAATCATACCTAAACCAGGGGGGGAAAGCAAAGAAATAATCTTGATGATGAGAATTGACAGTACATGAGCACGAACTGAGCAAGATCTCACGGGGGCGGAGATAAAGCTAGGGTTTTGATAGGATTGAACGAGGCGCTGTAGTCCAGAGTGTCGGATTTTATTCCAAAGCGCCATTTTTCCACTTTTTCTCTTTTTTTTGGATGGGGAGAGCTTTGGAGATTGAAGAGGGTTACAAAGAAGAGTGAAGGAGATGCATTTCTCCTGCAAGATGCACGATTAGGACCTGGGCCGTGGGTTAAGGAGGAGGATGGCGTGGAGGATGAGAACTTGGTGTCGACTACAGGAGATCTAGGGTTTTCGACTGAGCTTTGAACGGCAGGAGGCCGAGCTTTAGACAGTGAGTAGGATAAAGCAAGCAGTAGATTTGATTAAGAAACTTGCACTAAATCAAACCAAACCACATCAGAAACGCAAAAATCACAAAAATCCCAAAAAGTCGATAAAGTCGAACAAAAACGCACATATGAAAGGGAAATGATGACTTGATGAGCTTCAGGTGCAGGTGGCAGCGAAGCTTCTAGTGGCGGTGTTGGCGACGAGGAATTAGGGCTAGCTAGGGTTTTGAAGGGAGAGAGGAGGTTAGGGCCAGTTAGGTTTTGAGGGTTTTGAGAGGAAAGAGGAGAGAACGAGTTTGGGACACAAGGGAGAGAGGAGGTTAGGGCCAGTTAGGTTTTGAGGGTTTTGCGGCTTCTCCACCGTCGACTGTGCCATCGCCGCCGCGTCGCCGCCGGCAGCGGGGCCCGCGTGGTCCTGATCACGGCGCGCCGGAGTCCGGGAGCGAGGCCCGGAGGCTGGCGAGCGCGGTGGCTTACTTGCCCGCCACGACGATGGCGGACGAGGAGGAGGAGGCGGCGGCGGAGGGGGCGGCGAGGTTGCCGATGGGGAGCCTGTACGAGGGCGCGATGTTCGGTTGTTTCGAAGATGGTGGTGGTGAGGTTGGCCGAGGTTCTGGGCCGTAGCCCGGCCCAGATGAGAGCCCGCCACACTAACCTTGAATGAACGGGACGGAACGGAACAGTGTGGGCGTGATGGCGATTGGCGAATGCAGTTAATGTTGCGAGTCTAAAGATAAATAATTGCTATATGCTACATTATGTACTGGGGATTAAGAGGTTTTTTTTAGGTAGAGAAGAAAAGCTTTCCGTATTGTATATCCCTCTATGTAGGCATATGGATCGATGAAAATCTACAATATTTTATTGTTTAATAGTCGCACTGTGATTCTTCTTGCAATTGTCCAGGTGCTTCGATCAAGTTGAAGAATGATGCATCCTCGGGCATGAGCGTAGGAACAAGAATGTGGGTATTAGTGTCAAAAGTTATAGGCTGAGGGTGAATTAATATATGGGTGGTGGTACAGGAACTTGTTATGGGACAGAAAATCGACACCTCACATGTCTCATATAGACTCCCATATTTTTGGGTCTTTAAAACTTTTTTCTTAATATATGCATTGAAGTACATTCATAGGTGTGTGAAGGGGGGAAACTGTTTGATTGGGGATAGGGCTAGAAACGTCATTTCAACATTCCACCTTTTTCAAAACTAAACACCATTAGTGGGCAAGGTTGAATTAATATATGCATTGAGGTACATTCATGGCCGGCGGTGGATTTGGGAACAGGCACAAGAGAGAGAACGAGTTTGGGAACGGGATGTGAAATCGGGGTTTTTTTTTTGGTTAAAAATTAGAGTGAAAATTCCCCCCAATTGTTTGGGTAAAGTTCACCGGCTCCAACGAGTTGAACCGTTAGGGCTGATTGAACTTACCCCAATGGTTCTAGACACCCGTTAGGACTGGGCATATTTGTACTAGTGATTATTTTTTAATATTAAAAGTTATCCCAAAAATTCCCCTTTCTAGTTAACCCTTAACGAGAATCGGATCGGATTTGGATCCACTTATCAGGTTATAGAGCCTCCTTAACCCACAGCTCAGGTTCGAAGCGTGCATCTTGCAGGAGAAATGCATCTCCTTCACTCTTCTTCGTAACCCTGGAAAAAAAGAGAACCAAGCGGACGGAGTCTCAATGGGGATATTATTGCTCAATATGATTGAGATGTCATATATCCTAATTAACTGAAAAGACGGAGATTGATGTGAAGTTTATATCCTAAAAACCGATTAAGATCAAAAAACCCTAATTTTAATTTTAATCTTAATCTCTTAGAACAAATCATGGTGGCTCTGATATCACTTGTTAGATCTTATAAAAACTTGATATCTAAACCATAAAGCCATGATTAATTCAAAGAGATTTACAAGAATCAAAAGAAAAGAGCGGAAGCTTATACCTGAATCCATTGAGGAAAACCTGATTAGGGTTTTGATGATCTTCTAACATTAGGGTTTCTCTAGCCAAATTTCTCTCTAGATGGGAGTGAAGAGAATTAGAGCATGTAACCCTAGATTAGGGACCATAACCCCTTATTTATAGATGTTGTACATTTATAATTTGGCCCCTCATCAAATCACAATTACAACATGGTATCTGCACATATAACCCCATGATTATATTTAAATACACATTAACCCAAATTGATTGATCACTTTAGTGGGTTATCCTGAAGGATAGCAATACACACAGATTAATCATATGTGCCCACAAATAGATTTAATTAGATTTAAATCCAACATTTCCTTCTCAATTTCGGTCTACACTTTATTGCTTTGCAAATTAAAATTGGGAACATATGCTCATTGAAATAGTTGAGATTGCCTGATACACATTGTTGGCGAAGTTATCCGACCTTTTGCATGAAGATATTACGTAACATTGTATCAATATCCCAACATTGTGAAAACTCATGAGCCTTTATTATTGACAATTTATGCATTTTTTTTTATTTACCTAAGGCTATGCTCATGTTTGATATCTACATGACATGCAATGAAACATATTATTACTTGTTTTAATCTATCCGGGCGAGTTCATATTATGCCACGAATAATACTAGTGCATGCTTTATTTCTAGACACATAACTTTAGTAGCTTAGTTCGTTAGTTAACAGACTAAGTGAGTAAGTAAAGACGCGAAAGACTTCAGAGAAAAACACTTCTATTTTGACCATCAGGAATGGAGGTCATTAAATGCACCAATTAGGAGAAGTGCTAAAGAAGTAGAGGTAGGCCTAACAAAATTTCAGAAAGTGTTCAAAATATGTGATGATGATTAAGTTAATGAGCAGATATCCCTCAACCTGAGTCAAAGAGGTAGATGTAGTTGACCCCAAGAATCGGGATAAAGGTCTCGTTGTTGTTGTTGTTGTTGTTGTATCCTACTACGCTTGCTTATACTTTAGTCTAGTCTAGTCTATACCACAACAATCTAGAGCATTCTGTCACATTCTAAAGGACTTTTAACACATTTCGAAATGTTGCACAAAGATTCTAGATAATTCTAGAACACTCTAGATTGTTGTAGAAATTTATAGAATTTTCATGTGTTGTCAAAGTTTTTACTCGTACTATCTCAAAGTTGTTTGTTATCTTTACAGGCTCGACCGCTTCTAGTGTTGTCAAAGTTTTTACTCGTACTATCTCAAAGTTGTTTGTTATCTTTACAGGCTCGACCGCTTCTAGTTTGCTCTTGAGACGGGAAACTGCGACGAGTTGGTGGATCCAAGGCTGCAGGGAAACTATAATAAGATCGAGATGTTTACTATGATCGAAACTGCAGCTGCTTGCGTTCGACATTCTGCTCCTAAGCGACCTCGCATGGTTCAGGTAAACATATTTGATTTCTGTTAAGAGCTTATAAGATCTTCTTCTCGCAGCATATGAATGTTTAAAGGGTCAAATGCACATCGATTCTCTTTTTCAACTTACTATTGCTGTAGTTTCACTGCTGCAGATAGACCCCCTGGGTTAAGCCATTTTGTTTCTTCTAACCTGAAGGAAAGATGAAGTTGTTTTTTGACAAATAGAACCCTCTGAGGGTAGAAAAAGTTCACTCAGGGCCGTTAGGGGTATATATTTGCAAAAATAAAAGTAGAGGGATAATAAGGTCAAAACATCGGGACTACACCGGGTCTATATGCGACTTAACCCTTATCAAATATAGTTTACAAACTGTTAGCTATGATTTAAAATAAACTAAATTAAAATCTCAAAGTTAAAAAACACGCAAATGGTTGACATATTTGTCACATTCTTATGAAGTAACTTCTCCCTTCAAGGTGGTGAGATCATTGGATTGCCAAGCCTTCAACTCCGACCAGTACTCTGCCGACATCCAAAAGTTCCGTCGCATGGCCTTCGACAACGGCAACGGCTATGAGTTCGACTCCGGCGAGTACGATCGCTAGCTGCACCGGCGCCAGTGGTGAGTTACGAAAGCAGCATCAAGCCCGCTTCCGCCAATTAGCACTTTGGCGAGTACCCGAGTGATGAGTCGGATACACGTGCTATGTTTGGCAGCGAAAGGAGCACCGGCCGTGGATATAGTTAAGGTGGAGTTTGCTGCTGCTCAGTCGCCGGAGTGTATCCTAAAAGTTCGGAGTCAACTACATTAATCATATTCCTTCAATTATATTACTTCATTTAGTTCTGTTAGGGATATCTCCTTCCGTTATACGTTATAACAAAATGCATGTTCAAGCCCTTCTGGAAACTGGATAAAGTTTCATATTGGGAAATTGCATAGAAGAAATGATGAACAGAAGACAACAAATTTAACTTATATATTTATTTGTAAATTGTAACAGAATCAAATTGACAATTTTGTATAGAAAAAATGGTGAACAGAACGACAACAGTTTTTAACTTATGTATTTACATTTGTGAATTGCCCGAATTTAGGCAAACTACGTGAACATATTCTTCCATTCAGTTCTGTTTAGAGTTATCTCCTCCTACTAAATCCGGTGTAACAATCTTGTATATAAGCATCATCCCCTTGTAAACTAGAGTAATTTTCATTTTTACAGTTCTAAGACAATCTTTAGCTAGGCGCTGTGCAGTTATCAAGTCTTATTCGTGATTCCATGGTGATATGTTTGTGAAATGTACAGTTACTGAGAAATTAAAGGAGGATGAACAGAAGGCAACAGATTTTGACTGATATCTTTATTGTAAATGTAAGGTAAGAAAAATTACAATTTTATTGATGGTTCTTCTAAACAAAAACTCAAAGAACCATCATGCCCTCCTGAAAACATCTATAGTGAGTGATCATACAAAAGCCAGTAACTTTTTGTTCCGAGTCAACTGAGGGCTAGCAAAATTACACAGTTACTGAGAACTTTAAGAAGAATGAACAAAAAAGTAATGGATTTAACTGATATTTTTATTGTAAGTGTATCATAACCAAATTTACAATCTTGTTGATGAATCTTCTAAGCAAAAAGACTCAAAGAACCGCGTAGATAGTCAGCGTTGAAGGATTGATGAAAGACCCAGAGAGTCATCAGTAATATCGTGTTGACTCAAGACCAAGATAAACCCTTCGACAAGAAAAAGCCGATGCTGCCTGCTGCAAGCACAAGAATAAGTGGAGTTCCAATTGAACCTGGATCTAGTATTCGACTTGTATCACTTCTTTTTTGGAGGGTAAGCTGAGCCAAATGCTCATGAACCAAGTTTGAGAGATTGTCCAATTGATGCATCATTTGTCTCTGACCTCTAGTGATGGTCATGATCTGTTATCGGGAAAGTAATTAGGAAACTATTGAAGATGAGCATATGCATCCAGATTATATAGTGTGCTGTTATTGAAAGTTAGTTCATGAAAGAAAATCAGACGTGTTAATGGGCAGTCAGAATTTGGTATGTATAGACGCAGCAATTTTTTGCAAGATGTCTTTGCTCCGAAGGTTCTAGTTTACACTATCACTGTATGTTTCATTATATTATCATTTATTCTTTTAATAACTTCTGCTGCTCTAAAACTTTCTTCTTACTCAACTGTTGCAGTAAAAGCTTGTTTTAAGCAATTGACAGGCAGTGGTAATATTATATAGGGTTAGTTGCATTGACGGATAGCACCCTATGCTATCACCCAATTCCGGATAGACCCCATCAGTTCTATTGTTGCAGATAGACGCCCTAAATGTATTCTTTTTTGACACTTTTATCCTCGGAGGTCTACCTGTCCAAAAAGAATTTTCTATTTCTCTGGGGGTACGAGAGGGGGAAATAAAGTTTAGCGCGGGGTGAGGGGGGTCTAACTGCAACAATAGAACTACAGAGGGGTCTATCCACAACTAACCCTTTTACATACTACGTGCAAGTAGAATCAGATGCAAATTGAGCATGTAATCTCCCAAACAAAATAAGCATACCTCTTCTAGTAATGGGGAGTCTTTACTCAGTTGGGTAGAGGATGACGAAGTAGGTACCAGTGTTCCGTTGCCCAAGCTGGACATGAATAAGGACGTGGGTGCCGAGCCATTGCACGTTTCACCTTGATTAGGGAGGTTTTGATGGCTCATAGAAGGCTTCTGCATGCTAAACTTGGAATTCAGTTCTTCAATTCTGGAAGTGAACTCATCCATCCTTTCGTTCAATGTGGATATCTGCTCTGAAAGCTGAGTAATCACCCCCTGCATATAACCCAAATGAAAGTTACAGCAAGTAGCATTAGAAGAAGATGGTACAATATTGCAAGAACTCATAATCTTTTGGAAATACCAGAAAGTTCAAGGATGGAATTAACCTGGTTAATTGCAGGTGAGTCAGGGTTTCTTCCTTCGTATCTTCTGGTGCCAACTGTAAGTCTGGTCAGCTTATCTAGATTCTTGTCTCCTTGTGTTGAGTAGGAGTGTGACAAACCGCTGCATGAAGCTAACATAGCATCATATTGATGGCAAAAATCTTCTATGAAAAGGAAATTCGAGACACTCTAGCTGCAAGAACAACGGATTTCCTGTCCCGTAACACAGAGATCTAATGCATTTAATTGGAAAAGAAAGAAGTTATAATAACAGAGAGGGCGGATAACGAACAAGGGTTGTCCATAAAATGTGGTTGAATCATTTTCTCCTCATAGAGCATGCATAAAATTCATCTTAGAAAAATTAAATCATCAATAACAACCATATCACATCACAATAAACATTATGTTATCGTGCTAAACGACTTGGAAAGGCAGGTAATAAGGATGATATCACACACACACACGCGCGCATATATGTATATGTATATATATAAAACGACATGGAAAGGCAGGTAATAAGGATGATATCATACATCGGTGTGCTATAAAGCATTCTTTGTGGTATGATTTTACAATGTGATCAGTCCAAAAACTTTTTTTTGTGGGGCGGGGGGGGGGGGGAAGGGGGGGGGGTGTTGAGGGGAGTAAGGAAAAGCGAGCGAGTTCAGAACCAGAACTTTGGGCAAGCATCCAGACCTGACGCCAGGTGACTAGATATTTTCATTGATACTTTACTTTTGTTCAAGGTGATTTTATTCTGAGGCAGTCAGGGATGCAGGAGAAGAAGAGAGAAGATCACAAAGGAAGAATGAGAGGAACATGGAAGAAGATCATAACGGAGATGAATTTGTAAATATCAGTGTAAAAAGACTCACAATATAAGTTGTTAACTTACCTTCTTGCAAGTCTCAGCGGAGGTGACTCCATTGGTGGTCCGGACTCGAGGACAATGGCCCTAGGCGTAAAATGAGAGGTTGAGGGGAGACATCAAGAGTTTTTTTTTTTTTTTAAGATTCAAGACCCTAATCTAAGTATTTTATCTAAGATAGATTTGGATCGACTCAATCCATTTTGATCTGATCTGCTTTCTTCATCCACAGTCATGCATAAGCGGATGTATAACCGTTTTTTAGGCTTACTTGTGTGAACTGGCTGGTCTATGGCCACATCAGAGCATTTGACATCTAACTATTTGTAAAATATTCATAGAAGTTGGCAAAGGATGAGAAAGTTTGCTTGTCAGATGATAAAACCTAAGTGCAGTTGGGTGATGATGGTGGCCTTGAAAGAATCAACCGGATACTAGAATCCCTTGTTTTGAAGTTTATCGATGTCCTGCAAGTTCTATATCCTAATACATTCATGAAGTAGAACATCTTATGTCCTATTGTAGATGCTTATCCTTCAGCTGAAACTATATATATACATATATATAAATATATGTATGTATGTATGTATGCACATATGTATGTATGTATGTATGTATATCTATCTACATACACACACAAAATCGTTTATTGTAAAACAAATAAATATATGCAGCTTCAATTTAATATGTACAAGGGATGACATAGAACTTTCAAAATATTCTGAACATAACTACAAGTGAAGACAGGTCAATTTACTCCTGCTTTTAGTAAAAGCTTCTACTCTATCGAAGATAAAGAGCAGAAAATAAAAGCTCGCAAGATTCTTGTGCTTTATAGTAAAAGCTTCTACTCTATAAAAAAAAATTATCAGCAAACAAAACCTCTTGAGATTCTTATTCCTCATGGCAACTCTATCAGCAGAAGCTCGGGAAAGTGCTTCTTTTGGGCTTGATACCATTTCCTCATCAATGCTAAGTTTTGTCTTCAGATCATCTGGCAAAGCCTGCATATCACACATGTTGGCAGAAGAGACTACTAAAAATACAGCAGTAAGAAAAGATGTCTAACAGTATCATACCATAACTTCATTCACAAGCTTTTCTAGTTGAATTTGCTCGATATAAGTACGAGGGATGTAGGAGCCTTCCAAGCCCAATTGTTCTGCGATGTACTTAACAAACAGCCGATCTCTTCCTTGTATCTGCATTAAAATTAAACTTTGCCTTGTTACAAAGGACATTTAGAAAATGCAAAATCAAAAGAAGTTTGTGATATATACTGAACAAAATGAAACAATAACATATATACATCTCATGACACCATCTGCCAATGTATAGAGTGAAGCAAATATAAAAGGCCAATGAATGAATGACAACCACTTCACTTTGCTGAAGGATAGTTCCTAGGATCAAAATCAATACTGTTGTACTCAAACTTGAATAATTTGTATGGTACTGAAATAATTGCTTGCTGCTGACTCCGTCATGAAAAGAACAATATTCATAAGACGGGTACATGGAAACAAAGATTGAAAGAATAAGTTCTTTGTAAGAAGAATACAAGAATAAGTTCTTTGTAAGAAGAGTACAAAAAAAGTAACACAAGGGATTACCACCAAAACAAACATTAACAATGACCTCAAAAGAAGAAGAAAAAATCCCAGTCCTTTTTCTAATGATAGTCACAATTTCTCATTCGTGCCAGGAACCCCAGAAAATAAGACAAACAAAAGCCATTCAGTTATATTCCAGCAAACTAATTATTCCCAGTTCTCAAGAAGGTAATGCAAACTTGCTGACTCGAACAATTAGGTATTAAACTGTGGATAAATTTGAAATCTATACACAATTAAAAATCTCTACTATACTAACTAGAAATGGAGGGAATTAGTATGGACTGTAACCTCAAAATGACCAAAATTCCTAATTATGTAATACATACAATATTATGTGCTATGCTTTCAAACTTATGTCTAAGCCTTCAACAAAGTTTTACCTGGATATAACGTCGGTTTAGTTGCTCCAACCAATCAATTTTTACGATCACCCTTTCATCAGAAAAAACATGGCTGCTTCTTTTCAGAATAGCTGCAATGCTATAGCCCAAGGCCATCAACCCACCAAGAAGCCGTACGCTAACTTCAAAAGTAATACGTGGAGATATAATGAAGGGGTTGTCTGTTACCCATTCCTGGAAATTAACAAATGAATCAAGATCGTGTTGTTTGATTTGTGCATGCATACCAACAATGGGAGTTAAGTCTACTACAGGCATAATCGGGTGACAACATAAAACACATCTTAAATGACAAAAAGAATCTGTACATCTCATTTTGATATTGTTGATAACATATAAAATTGATATAAGACGACCATCAATAGAGCAACGACTGTTCATAAATGCAGTAATGACATAGACCTGGAATGCTATACTGATGGGTCAACAACAACACATTTAAACGTTACTTGGCATCTGAATTATTAGAGTTTATCTGCTAGTTAGTTGGTTGAGCTTTGAATCTTTTATAAAAGAATTCGGTGTTAATAGAATTAGAAAGCCACATTTTCTTGATTGAAAATTAATGAATTATTTGATTGAAGGGTGTGTGATTTCTTCTCTTTTTCTGAGGATTTGGTTCTCTTCAGTTTCTTCTTGATTGTGTGATTCCCTATATTATCTTTATAATAGTGCTATTTCCTACTTTTTTATTCTTATCCTTTAGAATTCTCCAAGTTCTCCACTCCTCATATTAGCCACCTATTTACTTCCCTTCTACATTTCCAGCACAATTGCCTTCCTAGAAATTTGGCATCAAGGCAAATTTGATGTCTGCTTGACATATGAATAGAAAAGTTGAGTAGTCTTTCCATGGCATGAACCCACTTTGTGCGTGTACTTCAAGCTGACTTCAGTTTGGTACAAAAAGGTTATATAATAATGGTGCTTTCTAAAATCGTTCTTGTAAAACAACCAAAAGTTAAATCCATATTATTGTGTCCAATGGACAGGGAAGACTAAGTATTGCTGGGAAAGTGTTTGGGGCCTTAACTTTGTCGAAAGACATCAGTCGGTTCATCTTGGTGTAGGTTGTCTAAAAATTATTACAGATAGATGATCCCCATCAAACATTGATGATGAAATTTACAATTAGGCAGTTTTCAGAAGGCTACAATTTAAAAAATTTCACGTAGATTGATGAATGTTACAATCTGACGATTTTCATAACAACCGATGAAAGCTCTGATTCAACAACTTTCACAAGCATCAACAAGAGTTACAATCTGATAACTCTCATATTTCGGAGAGCCAAATGTAAAGATTACAAACGGACGATCTTTGCAACGGTCTCTTCAAATCAAAACGCAAAGCTCACCTCCGCGTTCTAGACTCAAAACGCAGAGCTCATGGCCACGTTCTAGACTCAAAACGCAGAGCTCGTGGCCGCGTTCCAGACTCAAATCGCAGAGCTCACCTCTGTGTTCCCAGAACGAGACCCAAAGCTCAAAAGCTGCGTTGCAACATCAAAACGTAAAGGTCCTCCCTGCGTTGCAGCATCAGAATGCATAAGTCCTCCCTGCGTTGCAACATTAGAACGCAGGGGTCGGACCCGTGTTTTCTGCGTTTGACTGGTTCAAGTAGAACCTGAACGGTTTCAAAACCGTATCTCGACTTAAAGGGGTCGGTTACACCCCATTATAGAGTGATTTTAGGGGTGCGATTACACCCCTTAAACCCCTGAACAGTTTTAAAATCATTTTTCACAAAATGGGGTTGGTTACATCCTATTAAGGAGAGATTTTAGAGGACGGTTACACTCCTAAATCCCCTATAAATAGCTGAAAAATCAGCTTAAATCGGTTCCTCTTGGACTCTTTCTCTCTCTTTCGGATCTTCTTAGAGCTTGAATTTTTGGGAGATCGAAAAATCACTAAAAGGGATTGGCATTCTTCCTTCAAACCGAGAGCATCTTCAGCAACAAGGAGCTTCGGAACTTGGCTTAAAACCGATTTTCGGTTCAGATTAACTCTTTTATAGAGTTTAAAACTCGCACTGAGTTCCTAAACTCATCAAGAATTCTGCTCAAACTTGCCATGCAAGTTTTCCTCATCATCAATCAAGAGGAAGAAACTGTGTTCCAGTGAAGTGAAACGTCGGATTGTCAACAAGAAGCAAACTCGACGCTAACATCGAGGGAGGCATCTTATCGCTACCGTGAAGAACCCAGGTTAAACAAAGGAAAGGGTCTCTGTCGATCCCTTTTCTCTTTTGTAAATCGGGATTCCGATTAAGAAAATTATAATTTCTTTTTCTAAGTTTGTTAGAGAGAAATTGTATTGAGAACGTTGTAATCATTCTTTATCTAAATTAGTTAGAGGAAATAACACATTTTTGTTCTCAATTGTCTTCTTTGAATTTTCCCACCAAACACTTGGAAAGTAATATCACCTACTTAGTCGTCCTTGTTATTTTTATAGCCGCACTTGTTGACCTATGAAGACAAGGGTGGATGCATGTGTTCGGTGGCAAATTTTATGGCCACATTTGTTGACCTATGAAGACCAGGGTGACTGCATGTGTTCGGTGGCAACTTCTTTTGACAAAATTAAGAAAGAAAAGATGTAGCCTAGTAATGATAAATGAAGAAGGATGGTGACAGGGGAGAATTGATGACGTGATTGGTGGCCGGATTGAAAGGATTGAAGACTATAAAACTCCTCCCCTCTCTTCATTTTAAAGACACTCCAAATCTAAGAAATCCAGCAGAGAGTGATTGAGAGAAAAAGAGAGAGAAAGCCACACAACGAAATCTGTGAGCTCTCAATATTTTGTATGAGTGTTGTATGTTGAGAAAGAAATATAGTGATACACCCTCTTGCCGTGGACGTAGATCAATTTGATCGAACCACGTAAATATTATGTTTGTGATTGTCTCTCTATTCTCTGATTCAGTAGGTAATTTCCATAACAAACTGGTATCAGAGCTTCTTGGTTCTAGAACAACTGTCAATCTTCCACAATAGCTTCTGTGAAGTTCTCGGTGTCGATCTTCGATGGCCAGAACAATTTCAGCCTATGGAGGATAAAGATGAAGGCTTTATTGCGACGTGAAGGCACGGTTAAAGCTATCGATGGGAAATACCCAGAAGATATGACTAGTGCCGAGATCGAAGAGATGGACGAAAAGGCTCACAGCGCCTTGCAATTGTCACTATCCGACAATGTGCTTCGTGAAGTTGCCGATGAGGAAACGGCAGCGGGGTTGTGGTCAAAGCTCGAAAGTCTCTATTTGAAGAAATCTCTTACTACGAGATTATACCTGAAGCAGCGGCTATACACACTGAAGATGAAGGAAGGTACACCCATTCAGGAACACCTTGATGAATTTAATAAAATTGTTATGAAAAACCTAGATCTTAAGCTTGATGATGAAGATCAGGCTCTCATTGTGCTGTGTTCCTTGCCTGACTCTTATGAAAACTTTGTTAACTCTATGTTGTATGGAAGAGAATCCATAAGTCTTGAGGATGTGAAGGCCTCTTTGAACTCTGCTGAGTTGAGAACAAAGTTAAATGGGAGAAGTACCGATAGGCAGGCTGATGGTCTGCTAGCCAAAGGTAGATCGAATGCCAGAGAGGGTGATAAAGGGCAATCCAGAAATCGCTCAAAGTCCAGGTCAGCCCCAAACAAGAAAAATATGGAGTGTTTCTACTGTCACAAGAAAGGGCATTACAAGTCAGAATGTTATGCTCTAAAGAAGAAAGACAACCAGCGTGGTGAAACCTCAGATTCAGCTAATACGACAAAGGCTGATACTGTCGTTGTTGCTAAGACGGTTCTTGCAGTATGTCCCTTGGATGGTCGTTCCGATAGAGAATGGATCTTGGATACAGGTGCGTCTTTTCATATGTGTCTAAATAAAGATTGGTTCACTACTTACAGATCTATAAGTAGTGGATCAGTTTTGATGGGCAACAATGCAGTTTGCAAGACAGTTGGCATTGGTACAGTTCGCATCCGGTGTCACGATGGGATAGTGAGAACTTTATCAGATGTGAGACACATCCCGGACTTAAAGAAAAATCTGATTTCTTTGAGTTCTTTGGATTCTATTGGGTGTTCTTACACTGGCGAAGGTGGAGCTCTTAGAGTTACTAAGGGTTCATTGGTTGTGATGAAATATAGTAAGGTGAATAGTCTTTATGTTCTCCAAGGCAGTACGGTGACAGGCTCTGCAAGTGTGTCCTCTGATGCTGATAGGGACACTACTCAGTTGTGGCACATGCGCTTAGGCCACATGAGTGAGAAGGGGATGACTATTTTGAGTAAACGTGGCTTACTCTGTGGTGACCATACATCATCACTTGATTTCTGTGAGCATTGTGTGTTTGGGAAGCAAACTCGGGTCAGCTTCTCGACTGGCTTACATACGATGAAGGGCACTCTCGACTACATCCATTCAGATTTGTGGGGACCTGCTCAGGTTCCATCCAAAGGTGGTGCTCTTTATTTTCTGATGTTTATTGATGATTTTTTCAGAAAAGTTTGGGTTTACTTTCTCGGGCGCAAAAGCGAGGTGTTCGAAACTTTCAAGAAGTGGAAAGTGCTTGTTAAGAATCAAACTGGAAAGAAGATTAAACGTCTCCGAACAGATAATGGTCTAGAATTCTGCAGTGGTGAGTTCAATCAGTTCTGCTCAAATTCTGGGATCGTACGACATCGCACGGTCAGGCACACTCCTCAGCAAAACGGGGTGGCAGAACGCATGAATAGAACGTTGATGGAGAGAGCCAGGTGTATGCTCTCAAACTCTGGCTTGGATAAAGGCTTCTGGGCTGAAGCTGTTAACACAGCTTGTTACTTGGTGAATCGGTCTCCTTCTACAGCCATTGAACACAAGACTCCAAACGAGGTATGGTCAGGTAAACCAAATGACTATTTAAATTTAAAGGTATTTGGATGTCCCGCTTACTATCATGTTAGAGAGGGTAAGCTTGAGCCTAGAGCTAAGAAATGCATATTTATTGGTTATGCTGAAGGCGTTAAAGGCTATCGTTTGTGGAGTCTTGAACCTGATTCTCCTAAATTCATTATTAGTAGAGATGTTACTTTTAATGAAAGATATATGCTTGATCATGGGAAGGTTTCTGTTGAGTCTACAGGAAACGTAGGGAAGACCATGGATAAGGTAGAGCTTCAGGTGGAGCTTGAGGGAGAGACGTCTCAAAAGTCGTCTATAAAATTTGCTCCTACAGCTGTAGAAGAGCAACATGATTCAGGCTCAGATGATGATGATGCTGAGACTGAAGAACCTTATTCCATAGCCACTGGCAGAGAGAGGAGACAGATCAAACCTCCTCAAAGATATGCACATGCTGAATTAGTGGCGTATGCTCTCACGACAGCTGAAGAGATGAGTATTCAAGAGCCATCAAACTTTACTGAAGCTGTCTTATGCGGAGAATCTGGACGTTGGGCCACGGCTATGACAGAAGAACTCGAGTCACTCTACAAGAATCAGACTTGGGATTTGGTGCAATTACCTAAGGGTAAAAGGGCAATTGGATGCAAGTGGATTTTCAAGAAGAAAGAAGGGATCCCAGGGGTTGAAGATGCTAGATTCAAAGCACGGTTGGTGGCTAAGGGTTATAGACAAAAGGAGGGAATTGACTATGATGAAGTGTTCTCTCCGGTTGTGAAGCATACCTCCATCCGTGTATTGCTTGTCATGGTTGCTCTATTTGATCTGGAGCTTGAGCAGCTTGATGTGAAGACTGCATTTTTGCATGGCGAACTTGAGGAGACTATCTATATGTCTCAGCCAGAGGGATGCTTCGTAGAAGGTAAAGAAGATCAAGTTTACAGATTAAAAAAATCTTTGTACGGCCTGAAGCAATCTCCCAGACAGTGGTACAAGAGGTTTGATAATTTTATGCTTAGTCATGGGTACTCAAGAAGTACTTATGATAGTTGTGTGTACTACATGCATCTAGAAGATGATTCTTTTATTTATCTTCTATTATATATCGATGACATGCTTATTGCTGCTAAGAACATGTCACAGATTCTTATTTTGAAGAAACAACTCAGTGATGAGTTTGAGATGAAAGATCTTGGTGCAGCAAAGAAGATCTTAGGTATGGAGATCAGGAGGGACAGGAAAGCTGGAACATTATATCTCTCACAAAAGAATTATATTAAAAAGGTGCTTGAACGCTTTGGGATGAGGCCAAGCCCGTTACGACTCCTTTGGCTCCTCACTTTAGGCTCTCGGCTTCAGATTCACCTACAAGTGAGAACGAGAAGAAGGAGATGTCCCGAGTTCCATACTCCAATGCAGTGGGTAGCATAATGTATGCTATGATTTGCACTCGTCCAGACATTGCCCAGGCAGTTAGTGTAGTGAGCAGATACATGGCTCAACCAGGGAAGGCACACTGGGAGGCAGTGAAGTGGATCCTTCGGTATCTCAGGGGTACCTCAGATTTGGGTTTAGTTTTTGATAGCAGTACTTTGGGAACCTCAGTTGTAGGTTTTGTAGATTCTGACTATGCAGGTGATCTCGATAAAAGGAGATCTTGGACTGATTATCTTTTTACTCTTTCTGGCTCAGCTATTAGTTGGAGATCGACTCTACAGTCGACAGTTGCCTTGTCTACTACAGAGGCAGAATACATGGCAGCAGCAGAAGCGGTAAAAGAGGCCATTTGGTTAAGAAATCTTGTGAATGAGCTTGGACTACAGCAGGAGGCTAGTTCAGTTGTATTTTGCGACAATCAGAGCGCAATACATCTAAGCAAAAACTCAGCACATCATGAGAGGACAAAACATATTGATGTCAGATATCATTTCATTCGTGAGGCAACTACTGAAAGGAATATCATGATGGAGAAGATTGGTACTGCAGACAATCCAGCTGACATGTTGACCAAACTCATCCCGACCTTCAAGTTCAAGCACTGCTTGAATTTGGGAGGCATTCACACTTGTTAGGTGGCCCCGCTTGGGGCATTGTTTGCAAGACGGGTAAAATTCACTAGTTATCGACGTTTGGAGAGTGGTCATATTCTCGTGTGGGTCTCGACTTGTTGTGGATTGAGTCTGTTGTCGTGAATTGTTTCACGACGTCCTGGACGCAACAAGTGGGACATTTGTTGAAGGTTGGTGTCGGCTCAGTTTTGAGAAAACTTCACCGAGGTGGAGATTGTTATTTTTATAGCCGCACTTGTTGACCTATGAAGACAAGGGTGGATGCATGTGTTCGGTGGCAAATTTTATGGCCACATTTGTTGACCTATGAAGACCAGGGTGACTGCATGTGTTCGGTGGCAACTTCTTTTGACAAAATTAAGAAAGAAAAGATGTAGCCTAGTAATGATAAATGAAGAAGGATGGTGACAGGGGAGAATTGATGACGTGATTGGTGGCCGGATTGAAAGGATTGAAGACTATAAAACTCCTCCCCTCTCTTCATTTTAAAGACACTCCAAATCTAAGAAATCCAGCAGAGAGTGATTGAGAGAAAAAGAGAGAGAAAGCCACACAACGAAATCTGTGAGCTCTCAATATTTTGTATGAGTGTTGTATGTTGAGAAAGAAATATAGTGATACACCCTCTTGCCGTGGACGTAGATCAATTTGATCGAACCACGTAAATATTATGTTTGTGATTGTCTCTCTATTCTCTGATTCAGTAGGTAATTTCCACAACAGTCCTTCAAGTAATGGATTTGTCAGAAATTCAGGAAGGAGCCTGCCAAGTGTTATGAAAACTTACTTTCAACTAATGACATCACATAGTCTTCATCTCAAATCACAGTAAGGAGGCGTGAAGTTATCAAAGTTGCTTACTAATCCCCCAAGGTAAATATGTACCTCAGATGTCAAGCACAATAAAAGAAATGTGGAGTTTCCTTATCATATTAAATGTGGGTCTGCTATTCTAAAACTTTATGTATGTTTATGCATGTAGGTATCTATCATAGGTTAGCACAAATGCTGATACGCATATACAAATAGATATCGTAGAAAAACAAATCACTTATAAGGAAAAGAAATCTGCTCCAGTAGCAATTTTTAAAATTGAGTTCCAAAGTTTAAAGTAGATATGATTCATCTAGCCAACTTCAACTCCATTGAATATCATCTTCGATAAACCGATCAAAGTTGGTCGCTCATCAAGAAATTATCCATTCTGAAGGCTACAAGATAATACTAAGATATTTCAAATGTATTAAATCCCATTTGAAGTTTACATTTCATATTTTCAACCTCGTCACCAATAGAATATCATGAAAATTAATGGGTAACATTTTTTGTCCTTCTCATAAAAATGCATAGGCTCATTAGTCTCAGCTGTACATATTTGAATGTCATGGATCGATGTCCTTATAAGATCACATGACTAATACTAATACACTGCCCAAACTTGTATCCATTTGTCATGTATAATTAAAAACTGTATCACTGTGGACCAAAGGCATGTTTACAAGTTAAGAAGAAGGATACACATAATGTGACAAATATATCTTATAATTATAACATAAGAGATACTACAGAAAAAAAACATGAAGGAAATAAAAGACATTTAAACTAGGAAAACAGAAGTCAAGTAACCAACCTCTAGTTCTATTTTTCAACCAGAAAATTATAGCATCAACTGAATCAACAATAGCAAATGACGAACCTCAAACATAAGATTATATTTCCCATCCCTGTTTCGCATTCTTAGATAGGATTGGCATGCTTCAGGATCTTCACCTGGTGGCAGTAGATATATATCATAAGTCTCTTCTGTATGCTCTTTGTGCTCACTGGGGAAAACAGCCTTGATTTGGTCCACTGACAAGATCCTTGGCGACTACAATAATAGAAAGCACTTAGTGCTAGACAGCCAATATTCAATTTATCAGTAGAAGGCACGTTGTTTTTTTTTCCTTTTTACTAATTCAACCTTGCCTTAACAAATTTGAATGGAGGCTAACCTTTAGAATGTATGTAGGATTCTGGAAGCCAGTGAACGGGTTGAATTTGTTAATTATTTTTATGTGCGCAGTCTGCAGATCTGGTTCGATAAATGCCTTGTACATAGGATACACCTGCATATAACAAATTATAACATCAAATTACAAGATATGAATTCAATATTTACAAAAGTAGGAAAAAGAAAGTGCATGATTCTCAAACAATAAAACAAAAAGCACCAGCCTAATGTATAATTGAATATGCAAAAGAAAAGAATGAACAATTTCTTAGCTGAAAACACTAATGGCTAGCATGTAGAATGAACAGTAACACAACCGTTTCAGAAATTTGATGAATGATTTCTTCTGGTTCCTGACCGGCACGCTGTATGTCCCTTAAAACCCTCTTCACAAGATCAAAATGTACACCGCCAGTCACAGAAACACGCAGGTCTAGTACAGCCCGCAACTTTTCACTCAACGCATAAATGCCCTCAATGATGACAATTCGAGAGCTAGGAACTTCAACTGTCCTGTTCGCAAAAAAAAAAGAAAAAAAGAGAACGCAAGACCGCTTGTAAATGTTATGACTTGATTGTAGAATGCCTTGTAACTCAAAGGATAACAGAACCAACCGCACATAAATTTAAAAAAAAAATGCACTACCTAAGTGGTGGGGTGGTGGGAGATACTTACCTGTATCCTACACGGGAGCTCAACTTAAAATCATACACTGGAACCTGAACGGATTTCCCTTCCTTCAGGTCACGAATATTTTCGAGCAACGTATTATAATCTGTTAGGCGTGGATCTGTTGAAGTGTTACAGATAGTTAGATATTACAATAGTTTGAACCAATTTTCCATTCTCTTTTACTGACAGGAAACGAGAGACATTTATTGGAATGAGATCCAACATAACAAATTAAAACATCATAGTTTTCGCTAAATACAGTCAGTATAAACTTGCATTTTAACTGGCATTTAATATAAAAAAAGGTAGCAGCTTGCACAGGACTCTCCAAGTAAAGTAATACTAACAGCAAAGTAAAAGTTCCAAGATATATTTTCATATAGCATAAAGCTCCTTGTTTCACTTGGAATATTACGCAGGTACTTTAACACTTTGTCTAATAGTGGCACTCATTTTCAAAAACTAGTAACATAAGGAAAGCATCTAATTGAGATTGTCTTCAATCTGTTCTCCAGAGAGCATATGCATATATTATTCCATTTCTCAAGTCTTACAATTGCCAATTTGCCATTGAACACGATCTAGATTTGTCTAAGACTATGAGATGAAATTGCATATCTTAACAATGGTCTATTTTTTCCACCGTGGCTGCTCACATGACTTCAGTTTTTCATAAAGTATCTCTAAGCAACCAACATATTGTTTCAGCACTTTAGATGGGAAATCTTGCCGCTTGATAGAGAATTGCACTTACATGAGTATTTTTATGGTTATGCGCATGGATATATTTAGGCAGAAACAGTTGGAAGTGGTGCCAGGTCATATGTACATATAATTGGGTACAGTTACACATTCTTGTTTCCATGGTGTAATCACACTGCATTATTGAATTCAGGACAACTATAAAATTAGAAAGTCTACTTCTAGCCTTCTTAAGAAGTAATGCCTGGATTCCTCTAGTCCTCTTCCTTTCCTCCAGTCCTCTTTCTTTTGCATTAAAAAATATGAAAGATTTATGCATTTGGTATGACCTCATTGTTTAACAGAAAGATAGCAAAAAGTTCAGCTCTCCATGTGATTCAGATTCCAATATAAGACATTAAATTCAAAGTCCTACAAAGTTCCATCCAGAAATTTCATAGGCAACCATTTAAAAGTAATGTTCTATTTCTATCCATAATGATGTTTGTGTGTACAGAATGAAGAGCTCTTCAAAATGGGGAGGTTTAGGAGGGAGGTACACATCAACAAAACAGAATCTCCTTAAATGTTTCCGTTACTTTCTGAAAATTCTAGTCCTAGTGAATTCCCATTACTTTCTGAGAATGTTTCCGTTCTTTCTGTTTCATTTTCTTCTTGCTCTGGCATTGCAGAACAAATGAGGCCAAAAGGAAGGGCATTGACAAACCTTACAATTGAAAAGTTGGAGTTAAGAAGTTCAAATTGCAATGAATAATTTGTAGTAAAAGTCAATTGATGTAACTACGTTATAGACTGCTTGTTCTTGACCAAATGGACATCCTAAAAAAAATCTAGCTGCGATAATCGCTCTTTTTCATCAAACATGATCACAAAGACAGTATAGGCAGTAAGCTAATTCAGAGTTAAGATGTCACTGGCACGGGTAAGAGCATAAACAAAGATAGAAGCATAAGAAAGATGCTAAGCTGCGAAAGCAACAATACCATCAAAATTGCCATCAACGATTCGACTTGCATCATTATAGTTGTCCATTGATATGACAGCAATGCTTGGCATGAAATTAAGGACTTTTTCAGTAAATACTGTCTTCCCAGCGCCAGAAGGACCAGCAACCCCAACCAAAATAATTCCCTCATTCTTTTGGGCTAACAGCTGGCAAGCCCGAATCACTATAAAGAAGCCCTTTTCAAATGATAGGGGTTCCTGAATTGGAGCAATTTCATACCGGTCCTTTTTCTTCACCAACTGCACTTGATCTCTTAAAAGACCTGACCTTCGTCGTGGTGAATCAGCACCAGAACCATCTTGAGCCATTTACAAGATAACTGTGAATATTCACCTGTAACATACAAATATTGATACAATTTAGAGAAGAAAAAGACATTACAGTGTCAAGATGTAGTATAAAAGCACGATTTATTTCCAATGGGTGATCCACAAAATCATGGAAGAACTGATAAGATGATTCTCATTCTTTCTATGTAATGTTGCATTTTAACAGGAAGTTAGTCAGAGCAAGGCCTGACACAGTTGAAGCCTTTTATGCAAATATACAATTTTCATTGTAAATATCATATTATAAAAGACATATAGTTAACAAATATAATTAAGTGATTCATAAAGACAACACAAGAGATACACATAACTTGTAAAAGACAAAGTCAGCAAATTAAAATCCACAGTTACGTCTTGTATCCAACTTGTTTCTCCTTTCCCCATCCTAACTCCTATATTGATTCTATATCTAACTTTTCGAATTACAAAATACATATTATACATGATTACTTCCCTCTTTATAATTTCATTTGCAGAGTATCCCACGTGTCCTTCAATATTTTACTTCTCTCTTCATGGTGGCATCACTGTAATAAACCTGCCAACACTTGAGCAACAATCATGCATGGACTCATATTGCCCTACTTTTTATTATAGCTTAGTGTTTAGTTAATAGTAATATTCAAGATCATGGAAGCGCGAAGAGGGGCATTTCTGCAGAAAATAACTTCAGGCAGCTTCAGTTGTATTGAATATATTCATAAGAATAACGTTATTCTAACAACTTTGTTTCTCTTAGGAGCAAAATTATGTTATCATAAAAAAAAAATTTCACATGTAGATTCAAAAAAATTCCTTAAAATAACCAGGTCCCTAATTTCAACAAAGCAAGTGGATATTCCAGTAAGATCACCATCATGAGGTTCAAACTTTTAACATTTGAAACCCTTCTTAAAATTTCCGGAAAATTGCACCTAATTTATCGTCTCCAGTCATAAAATTTTGAAACTTTGCATTCTTACTGCTAATAAAACAGTAATTATCCAAACCTTATGAATGACCTCCCTCGATTATGCTATTCAGATTGCCCTGAGAAATAAATTAGAGCAAACCAGAGTACTAACGATTAAAATATAACTGAATCCTATCAGTATCATTGGTTCTAATATACCTACGAGTTTTTGGCTTCAATAGTTCAAAAATCGATATTTGATTATTAAAATTTGAAGCTCTTCTTAGATTTTCTAAAAAAAATTGCGCGCTTTTTCTCGCCTCCAATCATCCTTAATATTAGAAATTTGCAATTTTTCCCACTAATAAAACAGTAGAAATTTGCTTCTCTCTTACTTCATATTCATGATTCATCACCTCATCAAAAAATAATAGTAGATAAATTAGGGCAAAATTAGTGCAGTAAATAATTAAACAATAATGGATCCATATTAGTTGAATTGGTTCTTGGGGGTTTCGGTTTCAAGAGTACCTGCGGAGCAGCGGAAGGGTGGAGGTGCGTGCCACGTGGCGGCGGCGGGGCGTCGCCGGCGATGAGAGAGAAATTTTTAGAGAGAGGGATCTTCAGCCAGAGAAGCTCTCCTTGGTTCGCTGAGGCTCTTCTCGTGGTTTTTATTTGTTTATTTATTTTTCTCGATTAATCAAGTCCGAACGTTTTGGAATCTACTGTCTCATGTACGTACGTGCGTATCGTACATTATATTAATGTTTTGGGAACTAAAATATATTCTTTTTTAATTAGTGAAAGCCGCTATTTGGCACCTTTTGAATTATTAAAAAACTAATTTAAACATAGATATATGTCGGTGCTCCATTATACCCATCTCTTCTTGAATATTGAGAAGAGGGGATGAAATCATATCAGGGCTCTGTTTGGCAAAACTAGCTGAAAGCTGTGAGATTATAGCTGAAAGCTGTTAAGCTAGCTGAAAGCTGTGAAATTATAGCTGAAAGCTGTTAGCTGTGTAGCTAGCTGATTGGCTAGAGCTGTTTGGCAAAAGTAGCTGTACAACTAGCTTAAATATGTTAAATGACTAAAAAAGACATGTAATATTATTGATATAAAATTAGAATTATTAGGGATAAAAACGGAAGAAAAAAATTTACAGCTCTTTCCCAAAGACGAACGCTACTTGAGGTAGCTTTCCAAAAGCTACTTGCAAAAGACACAATCTCTAAAATAATCTCCTCCTAGCTTTCCAAAAGCTACTTGCAAAAGACACAATCTCTAAAATAATCTCCTCCTATTTTTGGTCACCAAACAACTCTACTAGCTTATTGACCAAGTCAATAAGACACAAGCTCTTAGATAAGACACTTTTTTTTTTTGCCAAACAGTGTCCATATCATACTCCTTTTAAAAGCATGAGTTCGGGAAAAACTTTTTTTAGATAAAAATACCCCTATAAAGTTTAAATTATCCTAATACTAATCAAATTCTAATTTTTAAAATATATTTCTAAAAACAAGTGATTCAAAACGTGGCCGCTTAAAGAAAAAGAGAAAGAAGAAGAAAATAAAACCCATAAAATATATTTATGCACTATCTTGATGGGTCTTTTGAAAGTAATTTTTAAAATATATTTCTAAAGATATGTGATTCAAAACGTGGCTACTTAAAAAAAAGAAAAAGAAGAAGGAAAAAAAGAAAAAAAATACGCAAGCAAGTAGCTATGTAAATAGATAAGATAGTATTAGACAGTGTAGATGGAAGATGAAATAATTCTAGATACTTACTATTACTTCTAATGGGAACTATGATGGGATTGTTTGCGGTGAAAGTTATTGTCTTCATTGCTATCGAATCTATTACAACTTTAGTCATCACAATAAACTCGAATAAAATAAAAGTTGATCTTTTTATAAGATCTCCTTACACAATGAAAATAAAAAGTTTACAACTTTATCAAACAAACGCAGAGATCGTTTATCGGTCTTCTGCTTGCGTGGGATCTTTGCCTGTGTCGGGGTTTATCTGTGGACCACCGTCGATCAGATCTAATTGCTAAAAAATTGGGCAGAGCTTCTGAAAGTACTCTAATACCGCTAGGAAGGAACCCTAGAGGGGGTGAATAGGGTTTATGCTAATCTAATCCGATTTATGCTAATTTAAAACTTATTAATAAATATATCCTAGCAAATGACTTATGAACAATATGTGAGCAAGGATATACAAGTTAACACAAGGGTGAACAAACAAAACTAGATAGTGGGTAAAATAAACAATGAGCAATTGACAAAGGCAATATGAATAATAAGCACGAATATAAAAGTACGCCAATGCAATCACAAACAAATCATATGTTCACGAGGTTCGGTCCGCCTGACCTACGTCCCCGCTCCTCACCTCGAGGAGATCTCCACTATCACACAACCGGGTTTTCTACGCTCACCCGAACAACGTTTACACCTCATAATTTGGTTTTCTAGTTCACCGAAAACTTTACAATCACTCACAATGTAACTACACTAACTACCACCTCAAGTGTTGGTCTCTAGCCCGTGTCTCCCTCAAGTGTTAGGAATTATAACCTCTCTCTAGGCATTATCACCTACCCCACTCCTCTTGGGACAACCCCGTCTCTCACCACACACTCCTCTTGGTGTACTAGTGTAATACAAAGTGAATCCCCACAATTTGGCTCAATACAAATAAATTTATTCTCTACAATAGATGAGAACTCAATGTAGGCTCACTCTCTAAGTCACAAACCCCACAACCCAAAAATATACTATGAATGTAAATACAATAAGCTCAATAGGTTGTGTGTGATCAAAGAGATAAAACAATATAAACTTAATATGAAATCTAGCTTATGAAATTAAGAAAAAACTTATAAAATGCTAGAATTGAGTTTAAGAAAACTTCTCTATAGATGAAAAGAGAGAGGGAGAAGAATGAATGCTCAAACACCAAGGATGATCTCCACTTGCTCTTGTGAAATTTGCTCCACAAATCAAACTCTTGTAAATGCTTAAAAGCTTTTTAAACAAACACTAAACCCTTAAACAAAACTTGTAAACCTCTTAAAAACTTTTCTCTTGTTAGGTGGGAGAGGTAAATGCAATGGGGTATTTATAACAACCCAAGACATCAGCCAAAACCCCAAGGAAATGACCAAAAACCCACATAAAAACAGATCTGAAAAATAACTGTTACTGTTCAACGGTCATATTTATAAGTCGACTTGCATTCGACTTAGTATAAGTCGACTTGAAAATTCACATGAGTCGACTTTCCAGATAAAAATAACACATAAAAATCAGCACATAAGTCGACTTGGAAAATGACATAAGTCGACTTGGTCTAAGTCGACTTAACAGTTCGAATAAGTCGACTTGGCAGAGAGTTTTTGCACATTCCAGAGCATTTCATAAGTCGACTTGTCAACTCTGATAAGTCGACTTATAAACGTGCACAGGCACTGTACATGCTGAGAATCTGATTTTAAAAGTGCCTTTAAAAATAATAAATAAATTCCAAAAATTATAAAACTTTGGAAAATCATTGCAAACATGTAAATGAACATGTTACAAAAAGAATTTTTGGAATTGCACTTCTCAAAAGTGAAAACTCATTATTTTTCAAATATGTCCAAAAACATGAAAAGTAAACATACATGTTTTTTGACATTTGACATAAACCATGTTTTGAAACTTTGTAAAATGAATTTATAGACTTGATAAAAAGTATAAACTATAGTTGTTAAGTCTATAAACCATATAAACCAAAAACACAATATTTTTCCAAAAGCAATAGAATATGAAACATATAAAAGTATATATGAAGATATATATTGTTTCATATCTATATAGCTAAACCAAAACATATATGTATATATATAACTATATATATATATATACAAAAAACAAAATGTGTATGTGTGTATATAATTGAGCTTAAAGTACTAACACACATAATATAAAACCTAAACTAAATTACCCAAGTGTAGGCATATAAAATTGCTTATAGGTCCCTTTTGCTCAGCTCGGCACGAACCGACAAACCAACGAGGCGACGAGATTGACTAATTGCACGCAAACAACGGAATACGTCCATTCGCGTGCGGGATCAAGCCAAGTGTTCGAAGAGTCAACGAGTCATCCAACCAAAGGCATACTCGGACGAATGACGATCGAATCAAGATCGGTTTCGGACTCCAACTCAGAAGCGGATGTACTGCCTAATTGGGATCCGGATTTACTGCCAAATCAGCAAATCGAATCCGAACCTATCAACTACAAAACCGGAAAACGGGCACAAAGAGGCAAAACGACAAACACCTGGAGGTCGGCTCACCGAGCCACCAAGGAGGCTCGGTGGCCGAGCCACCAAGTGGTGGCTCGGCCGAGCCACCTAGGTGGCTCGGTGGCCGAGCCACCTTGGGGTGGCTCGGCCACCTCCGAGCCACCAAATGGTGGCTCGGAGGCCGAGCCACCTCCTTGGTGGCTCGGCGGCCACCAAGGTGGCTCGGCCACCACCGAGCCACCAATAGGTGGCTCGGCGGCCACCTTGGTGGCTCGGCCACCACCGAGCCACCAAGAGGTGGCTCGGTGGCCGAGCCACCAAGGTGGCCGGCCGAGCCACCTCTTGGTGGCTCGGCATGAGCCGAGCCACCTTGAGGTGGCCGGCCAT